TATCTCAGGCAGGAGCACTGGAATTACAGCCAGGTAGCACGCCCAACTTTACTTGGCTTCTGGGGATTCAAACTCAGTTCTTCACATTTGCAAGGCAAGTGCTTTACCCACTAAACCAACAAGCAGTTCTCAACCTTCCTAATGCTGCAAGCCCTTTAATACAGTTCCTAGTGTTGTGCTGACCCCCAACCAAAAATTTTATTTCATTGCAACGTCATAACTAATTTTGCTATTGTTATGTAATCGTAATATAAATATATGACATGCAGGATATCTGATATATGACCCCGAAAGAGGTCGCAACCACATAGATGTGGTAAATATGTAGTGTGTATGTGTGTGTGTATACACACCTTCATGAATGTGGAGGCCCTAAGATGCCAAGTGTCTTCCTCGATTGATCTCTATTGAAAAATGTTTTGCTGAGTGGTGGCACATACCTTTAATCTCAGCACTTGAGAGGCAGAAGCAGGTGGATCTCTGTGAGTTCGAGGCCAGGCTGGTCTACAAGAGCTAGTTCCAGGACAGGCCCCAAAGTACTACAGAGAAACCCTGTCTCAAAAAACAAAACAAAACAAAAAAGAAAGAAAAAGAAGAGAAGAATGTTTTTAGTTTTATACTTTACTTACAGGTTTGTGCATGGATGCACGTGCTGCAGTGCACACGTGAAGCCAGGAGAACTTTCAGGAGTCTGTTCTCTGTCTCTGTGCAGGTTCAGGGTGTGGAACTAAAGTCACTGCACTTGGCAACAAGCACCTTTACACAACGAGCCTTCTTGCCAGTTTCTCCACCTTTATTTATCTTAAAGATTTATTTATTATATATACAATGTTCTGTCTGCATGGATGCCTGCAGACCAGAAGAGGGCGCCAGATCTCATTACGGATGGTTGTGAACCACCATGTAGTTGCTGGGAATTGAATTCAGTACCTCTGGAAGAGCAGTCCCTGCTCTTAACTGCTGAGCCATCTCTCCAGTCCCCCGTCTTTATTGTTTTGAGAGTTCCTTTTCCCTCTGTGTTTAAATTTATTTTGATTGATTGGCTGATTTTGAGACAGGGTCTCTCTACGTTGCCATGCTATACAGGCTTGTCTCTGAACTCACAGAGATCCTTCTGCCTCTGCATCCTAAGTGCTGAGAATAGAGTGTTTGCCATCATCTCCAGTTCCAAAAACAAAAACAACCAAACAGTGAACACAACTGCTTCTGCTTCTCGAGTACTGAGATTAAAGGAATGTGCCACCATACCTAACTCAAAGTATATTTTATATTATATTTTTTTTAAATTATTTATTTATTATGTATATGGTGTTCTGTCTACATATGTGCCTACAGACCAGAAGAGGGCACCGGATCTCATTATAGATGGTTGTTAGCCATCATGTGGTTGCTGGGAATTGAACTCAGGACCTCTGGAGGAACAGCCAGTGCTCTTAACCTCAGAGCCATCTCTCCAGCCCTTTATATTATATTTTTATTACACACACACATATTTTATTTTCAAGACGGGTTCTCTGTGTGTCTCTGGCTCCTCTGGAACTCACTTTGTAGACGAGGCTGTCCTTGAAATCAAAGATCTACCTGCCTGCTGCTGGGTGCACCACTATGCCTGGCTATATTTTTAATTCAGGTTTTATTTGATTTTTCAGGATTTTAAAAACAGTCCAAATAGGGGTCTGGTTCATTTCAGTTCCTTTGCTTCCAAGCTTCTGCTTCTCTACCTTCTGCTTGTCTGTGCTGACCAGGGTGAAATCCTGCAGCATTGAACCTTGAATTTCACGTTATCCCTGTTCACGAGCTGACTGGCTTGGCATCCTTTCGCCTATGCATGGCAAATCCTTGACTTCATCAATTTTCTCAGTTTTACAATTAGAGTAAAAACATGATTCAAAAATAAGCTCTGGCCGGGCTGTAGTGGTGATCCCAGTACTCAGGAGGCAGAGGCAGAGGCAGAAGGATCTATCTGCCAATTTGAGGACAGCCAGAGAAACTCTACACAGAGAAACCCTGTCTCAAAAAAAAAATATATATATATATATATAAAATAAATATAAAACAATAAATAATAATAACCTCTCAGCTGGGCTGTGGTGGTGCAGCCTTTTTTGTTGCTGTTAAAAAAAAATCAAAAGCAGCCGGGCAGTGGTGCCACACACCTTTAATCCCAGCACTCGGGAGGCAGAGGCAGGCGCATCTCTGTGGGTTTGAGGCCAGCCTGGGCTACAAGAGCTAGTTCCAGGACAGGCGCCAACGCCACAGAGAAACCCTGTCTCAAAAATCCAAACCAAAACAAACAAACAAACAAAAAAAAAAAACAAGCAACCAAAAAAAACACTCTGGAAGGTCTGTCTCTGTATTCATGTATGTTTCATCTCTGATTGTTTCAGGTAGCTTCATGGCTGCACGACAGGATTCACAGGAAACTTCCTATCTGCTCCCTCCGAACCCTGAGGACTGGGACGAGCAAGGCATCCCTGACTTTGTCTATGGACAGAAAGACCTCGTCGGGGAGGGAATCCAATGGCCGGGGAATGCAAGCCTCACCCTGGACACACTGCCTCGGTCCCGCTTTGACTCTGCCCTCTGTTCTGCGTGGAGGCAGCGAGTGGAGCTGGGCCTCTTTCGATACCGCCTAGAAGATCTGCAGACACAAATCCTCCCTGGTTCCGTGGGCTTTGTAGCTCAGCTGAATATAGAGCGAGGAGTACAGAGGAGGCCACCCCAAAATATCCAAAGCGTGAGGCAGGAGTTTGACCCCAAACAGTTTAACTTCAATAAAATCCGACCTGGAGAAGTCCTTTTCCGTTTGCAACAACAGGAGCCTGATGGCCCAAAGCAAGAGGACATCCTTGTGCTGATCAATGTCAGCCCCCTGGAGTGGGGCCACGTGCTGCTGGTGCCTGAGCCTGCTCTTGGGCTCCCCCAACGCCTGCTGCCTGGGATACTGCGGGCTGGGCTTGAAGCTGTGCTGCTGAGTTTGCACCCAGGCTTCCGGGTCGGCTTCAACAGCCTGGGAGGTTTGGCCTCTGTGAACCATCTCCACCTGCATGGGTACTACCTGGCCCACCCACTGCCTGTGGAGGGTGCCCCAAGCATACCTCTAGACCCAAAGGGCTATATCCATCTGCTGCAGACCCTCCCAGCCCCTGGCTTCCTCTTTTACACTAGTGGGCCAGGGCCTGAGATGGAAGCCTTAATTCGCAGGGTATGCCGGGCCACTGACTATCTGAGTAACCGTGAGATTGCACATAATTTATTTGTGACCCGGGGCGCTCCACCCGGGCCGGCATCGTCTCCCGCAGGCCTCACTGGGCTCCGAGTCATTCTGTGGGCCCGGAAGTCCAGTTTTGGAATCAAGGAAAGCGGGGCTTTCAATGTTGCACTCTGTGAGCTAGCTGGCCACCTACCTGTTAAGACATCCCAGGACTTCGGCAGCTTGACAGAGGCAGCTGCGGTGACCCTCATTCAGGACTGTCTGCTGCCCCAAGCTCAGGCGGATGAGGTGCGGGCAGCGCTGGTGGCCCTGATGGCCCAGGGAGAGCTGTGATTCTTCAGGAGTTTTTTTCTTTCTTGATTCGAGGCCCTTTCCGAAGGCTGCTTAATCACTGGTATTTGGACATCTCTTGCATGACGGCCTTCCCACTGCTCAGCTCAAGGACTGAGTATGAAGACAACATTGAGTGAATGTAGCCCAGCGAAGGTTCCAGCGGCTTCTCCCCTCCCTTAGACAAGCCCCAGGGGTAACAGATCTACCGTTAAGGGCCAGGCAGATCACTCCGTGGGGGAAGAGTGCTTGCTGTCAGTGCTTGCTGTCGAGCCTGTAGATCAGAATCCAACCTCCAGAGCCCATATGGTCCAGGTTGCCCTCTGACTTCCACACACACACCCATACATGTACACACACATAAAAGTAAATGTATCTCAAATAAATAAAAATACATGTGCCAGGTGGTGGTGGTACACACCTTCAATCCCAGCCTAGGGTGGGGGCGGGGGCAGCAGAGGCAGGGAGATCTCTGTCAATTTCAGGATAGCCTGACCTACAGATCAAGTTCAGGACAATCCAGGCTACACAAAGAAACCCTTTTTCAGGTGGAAGGTGTGTAATTAAATCAGGATGTGTGAGAGTTTCACATTCCAGGCTGCTATCTGGGCTTTGTCTTGTGGTGAGAATCACTGGCCTCTGTTCTGGTGGGTTATGGATGCACCCAGCTACCGTTTCCTTATCTGACCTTTGTTCTTGCCCTTTCTCCACCACTGACTGCCTTTTTTTTTTTCTTAATAAATGGAGTCTGCTCTCTGAAAATCCATCCTAAATTTTCTTCTAGCCCCCATTAACAGGTGACTAGTGAGCTCAAAGGCAGCCTAGATTACATACCAATTCTACCTTAAATTTTTTTTAATGCTGGTCATAGGCCAGAAAGAGAGCTCAGGGGTAAAGGTACTTGGCATCAAGTACAAGGACAGGAGTTTAATCCCTAGGATACACTTCGTTCAAGGAGAACCAACACCTGCAATCTCTGACTTCCCACATGGGCACTGAACAAACCTAACAAGTTTTCTGTTTGGGTTTTTTGTTGTTTTACTTTTACTTTTGTTTTTGTTTTATTTCGAGACACGGTTTCTCTGTGTAACAGTCCTGGCTGTCCTGGAACTCGCTTTGTAGACCAGGCTGACCTCGAACTCACTGAGATCCACCTGCCTCTGCCTCTCAAGTGCTGAGATTAAAGGCAGGCACCACCACCACCGGCTCTGTTTGTTTTGAGACAGGGTCTCACTTATGTAGCTTTGACTGGCCACCAATTCACAGAGAATTCACAGAGATCTAACTGCCTCTGCCCCTGCATGCTGGGACGAAAGTGTAGCCTGGCTTAATTTTTTTAAATATTTATTTATTTATTATGTATACAATATTCTGTCTGTGTGTTATATCTGCACGCCAGAAGAGGGCACCAGACCTCATTACAGATGGTTGTGAGCCACCATGTGGTTGCCAGGAATTGAACTCAGGACCTTTGGAAGAGCAGGCAATGCTCTTAACCACTGAGCCATCTCTCCAGCCCCCTGGCTTAATTTTTTTTAAAGAAGTGCTGGTCCTTTTACTGCTTCCACTTAGCAGGTGAAGAAATGGTTGTTGACACAGTCAACTTTCTTAGATCAAGCAGCTATTAGCAGAGTCAAGGCCAAAGCACAAAGCACAGGCCTTGACTTGAGAGGCCAGGACTTAACACTGGTACAATGTAGAGTTGAGTTGGTCTATCTAGTTAGCAGCTTCCATGAGGGTAGTGCTGTCTTGAAAAGTTGACGGCCCTCCTGGGATCTTTCAACAACTAAGTCCCTGAACCCTACCTGTGATTGAGTCAGTCTGGGAAGTTTTTTAAAGCTGAGTTAGGTGTGATGGCACACACCTGTAATCCTAGCATTTGGGAGGCTAGGGCAGGAAACTGCCAGAAAGTCCAGGCCAGCTTGAGGTACAAGCATGACCCCTGTTTAAAAAAAAAACAAAGGGGATGGAGAGATGGCTCAGAGATTGAGTGGTGGCTGAGCCAGGCTCAGGAAGCAGCTCTCTGGGACTTGGAAGGTATCCAGGGCTACATGAGGAGATCCCGTCTACAAAACAAAAAACACCCATCCCGGCAAGGTGGCATAATGCCTTTAATCACATCACTGAGGAGGCAGAGTATTTATGAGTTTGAGGTCATCTTGGTTTACATAGTGAGTTCCAGGTTTGCCAGGGCAACATAGGAAAACCCTGTCTCAACAAAACAAAACCATCCACAAATATTAGGACCAACTTCTTTGAGATCCCAACATAGACTGAAAACCCAAAGCTCTCCAAGAATCCTTGAGGCCTCCAGGGCCAGGAGGAGACTACTGAGACGTGCTGTCTTGCAGACTGAACAACAGCTGGATTCTTGGGTTCTCCCAAGTGAGACAACCTCCTATACATATAGAGAGAATATATATAAACAAAGCTGTGTTCCTGTAGAGAACCCTGACTAATATCCTTGCACAAGACTTGAACAAGATCAAATCAAGCCAACCAACATTCCAATGGGGTAAGTCTTTGAAGACACAGTTTTCTTCTCAGGAAATCTAATTTTTTGTTTGATTGTCTGTTTTTTTGAGACAGGATTTGTCTACATAGCCCTGGCTGTCCTGGAACTTAACATGTAGACCAAGCTAGGCTTGAACTCTTCATGAGATCTGCCTGCCTCTCCCTCTGAATGCTGGGATTAAATGTAGGTGCTACAAAACCTGGCCTTTTTTTAGGAATTCTAGCTCACACCTAGAACTCACTCTGTAGCTCAGGATGACCTTGAACTTTTGAATCTCCTGCCACCACCTCCCACACACTGGGATCACAAGTGAAAGCCAACATGTCTTTTTTTTTTTTTTTTAAACCTTAACCATATGCATGTTATTAGTCCCAAGGGCCTCTTCCATCCTTGTCAAGGAGAGTGCTAACTTTCTCTCCTTTCATACAACACAACCACGTCTGTTTTATGGGAGGCTTTGTGCATGTTAGGGCATCAGTCTACCCAGCTGATCTACATCCCAACCCCAAGTCTTCACTTTAAAATTACATTTATTAATTTACTTTGTGTCTGTGTCTGTCTGTCTAGATCAGCGGGTAAGTTTTGGGAAGTCAGTTTTCTCCTATTCTGAGGACTCTCTAACTCAGACAACCTTAAATTCCTTAACCTGCTGAGCCATCTTGAAGCCCTGTGCTGTGGGATAACCCCTCTGTATGCTGTGAATATATTTTATTACCATTTGTTAATAAAGAAACTGTTTTTGGCCTATAGCAAGGCAGGATATAGCCAGATGAGAAATCCAAGCAGAGATACAGGGAGAAGAAGGAGAGAGTCAGGCAGATGCCAGCCAGCCACTGGAGCAACAAGATGTACTAGAGAACAGGTAATGCCATGAAACCACGTGACAAAATATAGATTAATAGAAACGGGTTAATTTAAGTTGTAAGAGCTAGTTAGTAATAAGTCTGAGCAATAGGCCAAAGGGTTTCTAATTAAGTATTAAGCCTCTGAATGATTATCTTAAAAGTGACTGTGGAACCGGGTAGGACAGAACAGCCTCCGTTTACACCTCTACCCTTACTTTTTATGCTAATTCCTTGACTTGAATTATGAAGTTATTACTAGATTACATCACTTTTCAGAGTCAGTTACAATCATCTTGAGAAGTACAGAAAAAACCTTGACAAGGGTACATCAATGCCTAAATACATACTTTTCATTCTCTTGTTATAGGTATATAATTTAAAAGATTGTACACTGAGCATATGTACCTTAGAGAATTACATCTAAGTTATGAACTCTCAAAAATGTCATATTCAACATCTTGAATTTTTAAAAATATTTATTTATTATATGTATTCATAATTCTGTCTGCATGTATGCCTACAGGCCAGAAGAGGGCACCAGACCTCATTACAGATGTTTGTGAGCCATCATGTGGTTGCTGGGAATTGAACTCAGGACCTTTGGAAGAGCAGGCAATGCTCTTAACCACTGAGTCATCTCTCCAGCCCCAACATCTTAAATTTAAGGAAGGGTTTGATGATACAAGTTTCAAAATAAATATGTATTTACCTATTTATGACAAAATATTTGTTTAAATTTTAGATCTCAGGGTAATTTTTCCTGCACTTATAATGCTTGCTTGTTTACTTACTTGAAACCCTTTTAAGGAGGAACAAGATCAGCAGATTTTTTAAATATAATATCCTTTTTGGGAGTTTCTTATTTGTTTGTTTTTCCAAGATAGGGTTTCTCTGTCTAACAGCTCTGGCTGTTCTGGAACTCACTCTGTGGACCAGGCTGTTCTCAAACTCAAAGATCTGCCTGTCTCTGCCTTCTAAGTGCTGGGATTAAAGGTGCTTGCCACCACTGCCTGGCTAGAATAATACTTTTTTAATCACATAGAATACTGATTTTTAAGAATAAAAGAATGAGAGTCTAGAGGTGGCTCAGGGCTGGAAAGATGGCCCAGCAGTTAAGAGCACTCGTGTCTCTTGTAGAGAACCAGCGTTGGTTCCAAGCACAACTATCAACCATATGTAACGCCATTTCTAGAGGACTGACAACCTCTTCTGGCCTCTAAGGGCATTGCATACATGTGATACACATATATAAATGTGTGCAAAACCCCCATACAAATAAGTAAATTTTTAAAAGAATGAAAGAGGGGGCTGGAGAAATGGATCAGTGGTTAAGAACACTGGCTGCTCTTCCAGAGGACCTTGATACAACTCCCAGCACCCACATGGCAGCTCACAACCATCTATAATTTCAGTTACAGCGGATTCACCACCCTTTCCTGACCTCCCACAGATATACACTCAAGCACATGGACACACACATAAAATAATTTCTTAATAAGAAATGCTGGAGGCTGGGTGGTGGTGGCGCATGCCTTTAATCCCAGCACTCGGGAGGCAGAGACAGGTGGATCTCTGTGAGTTCGAGGCCAGCCTGGACTACAAGAGCTAGTTCAGGACAGGCTCCAAAGCTACAGAGAAACCCTGTCTCAAAAAAAAAAAAAAAAAAAAAACGAAAAAGAAAAAGAAATGCTGGAGAAACGACTCACTAGTTAGGAGCACTTGTTGCACTTCCAGAGGACCCAGGCTCGTTTCCCATCACCCACGCGGTAGCTCACAACCATGTGTAACTCCAGTCTTAAGGGATCTGATGCCTTTTTCTGACTTGCACAGGCACCAGGCAAGAATGCGGTCCATATCCATACATGCAAGCAAAAGTCTCCATTACCACACAACCAATTACTTTGGCAAATTTTCAGTAAGAAGAAAATACTCATATTCATGTAACATCTGGAATGTTTGTCTTTTTTTTTTTTTTTAACAAAACACGTTCTCTAGATTTTGCCACACAAAATAATCCAGCCAGGTGGTGATGGCACATGCCTCCCAGCACTTGGGAAGCAGAGGCCGGTGGATCTCTGTGAGTTCGAAGCCAGCCTGGTTTAGAGCGAGTTCCAAGACAGTCAAGACTGGTTCACAGAGAAACCTTATCTCAAAAAAGCACCAAAACCAAACAAATAATCTGAATGACACATTGGGTTGGGATAGGTGGAGGAGGCTAGTGGAAGTCAAAGTGGGGGAATATCGGGTATAGAAAGGCGAAACAACAGAGCAATTGGATGAGGTAACTACTATTTCCTCGTCGTTCAAGTAAAAACTTGTTTATGGTGGTGGGCTCCATGCCAAGGCGCGGGTGTGGAGGTCGAGGACAACTTAGTGTTGCCCTGGTTCTCTTCTCCCACCATATGGGTTCCAGGGGTCGAACTCAAGTCCGCTGGCCTGTCAGCAAACACTTTAACCCGCTGAACCACCTCTCTGGCCCCATTCTGTAATTCGTTAATGGAACTGTTTCAGTTAACCGGAGTGAAAACTTTGGAAGACTCGTTTCCTAATTGCTTGATGTCTCTATCAAGGGCGGGGACTTTTTTCACAGCACTTTTTTTTTTTAAGATTTATTTATTGTGTATACATTGTTCTGCCTGCATACCAGGAGAGGGCAACAGATCTCATTACAGATGGTTGTGAGCCACCATGTGGTTGCTGGGAATTGAACTCAGGACCTCTGGAAGAACAGCCAGTGCTCTTAACCTCTGAGCCACCTCTCCACCCCCATAGCACCATTTCTAAAATGCAGAAGAAGCACAAGCAGCTATTTGTCCCAAATACAGACTTGTTTGCCTTGACCATCTGATTCCAGGAAAGGTGGGTGGAGAAGGCGCCCATCGGCGCCAGTGCAGGAGGACTACAAGTCCTATAATGCATTGGAAGAATCCCTCTTGGTTAGGGGCTCCTTCGCACTCTGACCTCCAGCCGCACTCTGACATCCAGCTGCAAAAGCAGACAACCCGGGGCCAAGATGGCTTCGACTGGCACCAGAGTGGGTGTGGTTCCCGGGAAGGCCACGCCCCCAGAACGCTACTCCAATAGGGTCCGCCTTCGTGTCCATAGCGACGGCGGCGGCGGCGGCCGTCGGCTTGCTTAAGGAGGCGCCGCCGCCGCCAGGATCTCGGAGCTAGGAGTTAACCCCGAGGGGGAGCAGGCTCCCCCTCGCGACGGCGGGGACAGACAGTCCTGTGGAACGAAGAGACGGTCCCCGACGTCCAGCAACGCCCAGGAAGAGCCGCAGCGGGCGAGGGTCGGCCATGAGCGACCAGCTGAGTCCAGCCCTGGGCTGCTAGGGGCAGCTCCAGCAGCCCCTGAGCTCTCCTCGAAACCTCGGGTGGGCAGTGTCTGCCGTGGGTTTCCTTTCCTCTATCAGAGCTCAAAGGGTCTCAGCCATTAGATGCCCGACCCTGACGTGTTCACATAGGGAAACTGAATCCTGGCTCAGAGAAAGGGCCGGCCCGAGAACCTTTGATCATCAGGGATATTTTAAAGCAAAGAGTCCTCCAGTTCTGTCAGACACCTCTTTTCCTATTCAGGAAACAAAACAGCCGCGGTCGTAGCTTCTGCCTGATCCCTTCTGCATGCACTGCAGCGTGTCCTATGGCCCAGGGTAGACCTGGATGATGGGGTCTTTTAGTTCAGGGCTTACATCCTACCAACATCCCGTGCTCCCCACAGCCCTGTACTTGGAAACAACCTAATCTACATTGGTCTGAAAGAGCAACATTTTCTTCTAACTCCATAAAGGGTCTCTGGGTGAATTCCTGCAAAACTTCCTGGGCCGGGAAGGAGGTCTGATAAACATTTCATTCCCATGCCTTTCCCCTTAGAATCTAAGAGGATGGAGCCCAGTACCTGTAAGAACAGTGAATCTGAGGAAGACTATGTTGAGGAAGAAGAGTCTGAGGAAGAGTGTGTTAGAGAGGAAGCTACCACCCCTAACTCTTCCCAGCAGGCACTTGCAGAAGCTGACTATAAAGAGTTTGAGAATGGGGTTACCTTATCTGTTGTAGCCAAGAAAATTCCAAAGAAAATTTTAAGTGCAACAGACACAGATGATTTGGAAGTTGGGAGGAGAAAGAGGAAGCGAAAACGAAGGTAACTTTCCCCCAGATACCTAACAGGTCCGGCTCTAGAGAGTCACCCCTTGGCCACCATTTGGTAGGGGAGAATGATGGGATATAAGCTATTCACATTAGCCTTTGGGAGACAGGAGGAGAACCAGGTTGTGGTGCACATCCATCATGAATCCCAGCAATAGGAAGGCTGAGACAAAAGAATTACTGTTCATTCCAGGCCAATTTGGGACCCTGATTAAAAAACGATATAGCAATGGGCTGAAGTAATGGTTACATGGGGAAGAGAGCCTAGTGTGCATCACCGGAGGCCTAAGTTTGAATTCCCAATGCTCATCAAAAAAGGGGGGGGAAAAGCTGGTCATGGTGGTATATGCCTTTGATCCCAGCACTCAGGGGCAGGCTATCTCTGAGTTCCAGGCCAGCCTGGTCTACAGAGCAAATTCCAGGACAGCCAGGGCTACAGAGAAAAAACCCCTCTTGAAACGAAAGACTGGAACAGTATTAATCTTTGCTGCAACAGAAAAAAAAATCAGAACCATCTGGGTCTGTCCAGCTTGGCGATTTGGCATGTTGGTTTGGTATTTAAGATGCTGCTAGAGAAAATGAATTTATATTATAAATTCGTTAGCTGTTTCTTCACCTGAGCTCCCGGCAGCCTGGAGCCTCCCCTGCCCTCCTGCTCTGTCTGATTTCTGTTCTCCCTTCATTTCAGATCCCTGGCCATCAACCTGACCAACTGCAAGTATGAGAGTGGTAAGTGCTGGTCCCATCTTTCACAGCTGTGTGTGCAAGAGGGGTTGTTCTTATTCCTGGGACAGCCACAGTCATTCTCCCAGCCCCTGGCTCCCTGGTGACCTACTACCTACACCGAGGTTCCTGGGTGTCCCCAGGCTTAGCTCCTAGCAGCTGAGATGTCACTATAGCAGCTTGTCACACTGGTAGGGAAGGTATCTCCACAGTTAGCAGGCAAAACCAAACACACACACACACACACACACACACCACACACACACAAGCCAGGCACTTGAGGGTCAGAGGCTGGCAGATCTCTGAGTTCTAGGCCAATCTGACCTCCAGAGCAAGTGACAGACAAGGCTACATAGTGAAACCCTGCCGTCCCCCAAATAAAAACTAAAAAATAAAATAAAAAGATTGCTAAGAATATAGCTCATTGGTAGAATACCTGTCTAGCATGCATGAAGCCTTGGGTTTGATCCTCAACACCCTATTAAACTGGTCCTGGTAGCTTATGCTTATAATCCCAGCATTTGGAAGATAGAGTCATATGGATCAGAAGTTCAAGGTTACATAGGTTCCTTGGTTACATAGCCAGCAAAAAAACAAAATGAAAAATATCTGACGAAATGTCGCCATTGTTCTACCCTTCAAATAAGGAGCATAAAGACAAGTTAAAGCTGCTTTTGGGACTGGAGAGAAAGCTCTAATACATGCGCTTGTCCATACGGCTGGCAACGTTAGCTCAGTCTCCGGGGACCCACATGGCAGAAGGAGACTCCTGCTAATCATCTTCTGACCTCCACATGCATGACCTGACACACATGTGCCCACACACATACATGTGATTAAAAACAATAAAAATCTTTTTCTGTTGTTGTTTTGTTTTGTTTTCAAGACAGGGTTTCTCTGAGTAGCCCTGACTGACCTGGAACTTGCTCTGTAGACCAGGCTGGCCTCGAATTCCCAGAGATCCGCCTGCCTCTGCCTCCCAAGTGCTGGAATTAAAAGCTGTGCACTACCACCATCCAGCTACCAGCAGCTTTTGAAAGGTTGAAAACATAGCTCAATGGTAAAGGACTTGTCTACCATGCAAAAAGTCCTAGGTTTTCCAGGCAGTGGTGACGCACGCCTCGGGAGGCAGAGGCAGGTGGATCTTTTTGAGTTCGGGACCAGCATGGTCTATAGAGTGAGTTCCAGGACAGGCTCTAAAGTTACAAAGAAACCTCATCTCAAAAAACAAACAAACAAAAAAAGCAAACAAACAAAACAAAAAAGGTCCTAGGTTTAATCTCCAACACCACAAAAATGAAAACCGCATTTTTCCCTTGAGAGGCTCTCAGGGGGCTTAACAATCAAAAGTAATAACCCAGGTAGGTCAGGGTTTTCATCTCTCCTCTTCTGACATCTGTACAAAGAGCCACTCAGAGTCTTAGGTGCCAGTGTGCTCCATCCAACCTAGGGTCAGCTGTATATCCATCCACACAGTCCTGACCCAGAGCAGCAGAGGTCTGTCTCTTGTTTTCTCTGCTAGCCTCGTGAACTTGAGATTGCAGCCTGGTAACTAAGATGCTGGGGTAAGAACCACATGCCTTTACAATCTGCTCTTTGGTCCGATCTGTTCCTTCTTCAGCCCAGCTAGAGTTCCAGGGCTCATGGCTGGTACCCAGGCTGGCAGCATTGATCTCCCTGTCTCTACAGTGCGCCGGGCAGCCCAAATGTGTGGCCTGAAGGAAGTGGGGGAGGATGAAGAGTGGACTGTGTACTGGACAGACTGCTCTGTCTCACTGGAACGAGTCATGGACATGAAGAGGTTTCAGGTACCAATGTCCCGGCCCCGCATCCGAAAGGAGCATTCCCACCCTGGCACTGGGAGACTGTCTCTTCCCATTGCTGCACCTTACTTATACAGACAGGGAGGCCACCCCCAGGTCTTTGGCTCCAATAAAATTATTCTTCTCTTGGCTCTCTGGAGCTTCTGTTACCCGAAGTAGGCGGTGGGTGGGCCCATCCCTGTCATATTATTTGCTCTGACTGGTAGCATCTGGCGAGGCTGCCTGCCTCATTGAGAGCAGGTGTGCCCATCCTGGGGCGAGACCTGGAAAGCTGGTTCAGGGCTAAGAGCAGAAGTCTAGGGATGAACCTCAGTGCTCTGTGGTATGCAGAAGGCACTGAGTTTGATTTCCAGGATCTAAAAAGAAAAGGTGGGGAGGAGGATAATGATTAAATCAGACAGATGGTTTCGTCTCTAAGCAGCTTAGCGTCACACATCTACCAAGAGAGCATGGAAGAGCCACGCATGGGTGATAGGTAGCATGGAAGAGCCAAGTGTGGTGATAGACACCAGTGGTCCCAGCCCTTGGGAGGTGGAAACAAGGTTCAAGGAGCAACTCGAGGCCAGCCTAAGTACAACCCAGTCTTAAAAGAAAAAAAAGAAAAAGAAAAGAAACACACACACACACTCCCGACAGAGAAGGGGGCCAGGAGATAGAGACAGCCAGCAACTGTACGCATGGGGCTGGGCATGGTATGGTGGCACAGGACTGTCTGTAATCTCAGTAGTCAGCAGCTGAGTCAAGAGGATGAGGTATTTGAGGCCATACATCTTGGGTTATATATCAAGACCCGTCCCAGAACAGCTTAGGGCCCAGCAGACACCCCATCCGTGCTGTGTGGTCTCCGGGTGCTGTGGCATGCATTCCCTATCGTCTTCTTAGTTCCTTTTCTCCTTGGTGTTTTCAAGTCTTCAAGGAAATGTTTCCTTATTTCTTTGTGCTATCACGTATCATTCTTCTTCTATTAAAAAGTCAGTGTGTGTATGTGCGTATGTGTGCGTGTTTTTGGAGATTGAACCTAGGACCTCATGCCCACTACTCAAAGGCCCCATCATGGAGTCTTACCTCCAGACAGGACTGAGCAAGGTGACTGGAGGGCACAAAGATCCTGGCTAGTCCACCCGTTTCCAGCTGTTCTTCCTTTCTCAGCCTTGGTGTACTGGGGAGAGACAATGGCGTGACTTCCTGCCTGCCTTAATGGAAGCTTCCTGTTTCACCCTTGCTGACTAAATACAGTGCTCCCCTCCAATGGAACTTATTCCTTTCCTTCCCAATCTTTCTATGGCTTCATGGGATGTCCAGGTCCTAGGAGCTGCCACGCAGGGGCAGTATAACCCACTGACTCTGTTTCAGAAAATCAACCACTTCCCTGGCATGACGGAGATCTGCCGCAAAGATCTGCTGGCTCGGAACCTCAACCGCATGCAGAAGCTCTACCCAACTGAGTACAACATCTTCCCGCGAACCTGGTGTCTCCCTGCAGAGTGAGTGAGCCGAGACCCTGGGGGCAGGATGAGGAGTCCCTCTCTGTGGTCTTGTGACCCAGATGTGTTTAAGAGGGTTGGAACTGGACCAAGACAGATTCAGCTGACTGGGAGTGGTGGCGCATGCCTTTAATCCCAGTGCTCGGGAGAGAGAGGCAGGTGGATTTCAGGAAGTTTGAGTCGAGCCAAACTTAGCCAGTACAGGCTAGCCAGGGCTACAAAGAGAGACTGTCTCAAAAAAAAGAAAGTTTCAGTTCACCAAAGCAAAAGTGGGTCCAAGGCTAAGGGCTCCAAGAAGAGCCTGGAAATAGAGAACAAGAAGATGGCCATGGGGGTCCCAGGACAGACAGGATGCACAGAAACCCTTTGACCGGCCTCTCTCTGCATGTAGCTATGGGGACTTCCAGGCCTACGGTCGTCAGCGGAAAACCCGCACTTATATCTGCAAGCCAGATAGCGGCTGTCAGGGCCGTGGCATCTTTATCACCAGAACCCCCAAGGAAATCAAGCCAGGAGAGCATATGATCTGCCAGCAGTACATCACCAAGGTGAAGGCCACCTCGGAACCCCCCAGGCCTTTCCCCGCACTTGCATGCCTTATCCCTTGTACATCAGGGCAGAAGTCAAGCATAGGCTCCTGCCCTCTCTGCTGTCCTTGTCATCTTACAGACTAGAGCCATTGTTCAGAGCTAGCCAGCCTGGATCTGACTCACAGCTTCCCCAATTCCCAGACATAGGATCTTGAGCAGTTTTCTGGCCCTTTCCTTGGTGCTGTTTCCTCACTGTTACTTTATCTGATTATTGTGAGGACTCAGTGTGTTATGTGTTGGAAGCACCTGTAATAGCCATATATTGCATGTGATAAGCACTTCAGAAGTTCATTAGTATTCCCTCTGGGTTTGCACGCTCTTAGCCCTTCCTCATTGATGGCTTCAAGTTTGACATGCGAATCTATGTTCTGATCACTTCCTGTGACCCTCTCCGGATCTTCATGTATGAGGAAGGCCTGGCCCGTTTCGCCACCATGCCGTATGTGGAACCTAGCCATAACAACCTGGTGAGGAGGCAGGGTGGTACCCTCTTCTCTTCTGTTGCCATGAGTGCTTTGGTTCTAGGGACAAGCATGGTAGAAAGGTTTGTCATTGTCAGCCAAGACCAAGGAAGGAAGCCAGTGAGAGCCATAGCACCTGGGGGAGCCCTTGTTGGGTGGTGACTGAGGAAAGGTTCTTTTTTGTTTGTTTGCTTTTTGTTTTCTGTTTTTGTTTCCCAAGGCAGAGCTTCTCTGTGTAGTTTTAGAGCCTGTCCTGGAACTCACTCTGTAGACCAGGCTGGCCTCGAACTCACAGAGATCCACTTGCCTCTGCCTCCCAGTGCTGTGATTAAGGGCGTGCGCCACCACCCCCCCCCGGCTGAAAGGTTCTTTCTGAAGTTATCTAGCACAGCCTCTTTCCCAGGATCTTACAGGACAGTCCCTGGTAAAGAGGGCCAGGAGATGAGCAAACTTGGGGCAGAGCAGTAGGTAATAAGAAGCACCAAAGGGCCGGAGAGGCCACACAGAGGCAGTCTGAGCCGATCCAGGGCCATTCACTTCACAGGAGGATGTCTGCATGCACCTGACCAACTACGCCATCAATAAACACAATGAGAACTTTGTCCGAGACGATGCTGTGGGCAGTAAGAGGTATCCTCTATTCTGTTTTCCCTTGCTTTCTCTGCCATTAGTCCCACAGTGTCAGGAGCCCATGAAACCCGGCTCTTGGGAAGCTGATTTCTTAGGAGTCTCTGCTTTTTAAGTCCCTAGTCCTGTGTCTGAGCTCTAAGCACAGACTCAACAACCTACAGCCCTGATAACTAATCCTCGCCCCCAGCTGCTAGCAGCCCTTTGAAGCCCAGGGTCCTAGACATGGAATTGGGGTTAACGCCAGGGAGCCTCCTGCCTGCCTGCAGCCAGGCCCTGCTGGCATGGAACTTGGTCTTCCTCTGAGCACTGGGCCTCATAGGAAGCTGTCGACACTCAATGCCTGGCTGCGAGAGCACAGCTATGACCCCCGAGAGCTGTGGGGGGACATCGAGGACATCATCATCAAAACCATCATCTCAGCCCACTCTGTTCTTCGCCACAACTACCGAACCTGTTTCCCCCAATATCTGTGTGGAGGTACATGTGCCTGCTTTGAGATCCTGGGTTTTGACATCTTACTGGACCACAAGCTCAAGCCCTGGCTTCTTGAGGTAAGAGTTCTCTCCTCGACTTGCCAAAGCCAAAGTCAGAGGCCTCGCCCTGGAAGGAGTGCACTGACATGGTAGAATGGGGAGGATGGGGAGGCAGAAGTCTCAGGGTGGGCAAGAACCAGAAAGCATGACTTCTACCATTTGCTGAGACAAACACTGGTGGCCTCTGACCTTGACAACAGTAATTCAGACTGGACATGGTGGTACATGCCTATAATCACGGGACTTGAGAAGTAGAGGAAGGAGGAGGATGATTTCAGAATGAGTCTCAGCTACAGAGTGAATCTGAGGCTAGCCTGGATTCAGTGAAATCCAGTCTCAAAACCCAAGGGGAAAAAAAAGCAAGCAAACAAACACAGCAATCCATAGTCAGGATTTCCCAGTGCTGGTTAAGTGAGTCTTGCCCTTCAGGACCCTGTGTCTGGAGTCCAGTTGTCTGGTTGTCTCTTCCTAGCCTGTAGAAGGGTCAGACCACTCCTCAGTTGTTGGCTCAGGCCACAGGAGAGAGCTGTCTCCCCAGGCCCCCAGTTAGACCTGCGAGAGACCACCACCTACTCAAGTGGTCTGGGAAAGGGGCAACAAGGTTTCCTCTCGGCAGGTCAACCACTCCCCAAGCTTCACCACAGACTCCCGCCTGGACCGAGAGGTGAAAGATGCACTTCTCTGTGATGCTATGAACCTTGTCAACCTCCGGGGCTGCGACAAGAAGAAGGTGATTGAAGAAGACAAGCGACGAGTCAAGGAGCGGCTTTTCCTATGTCACCAACAGCCACGAGAAGCCAGGTGTGCCCGGTACCTGATAGATATTTGTTTATTCCAGACAGGTCTCTGCCTGGCCTGGAACTAGATATGCAGACCAGGTTGGTTTCAAACTCCCAGTTGCTGGGGTTCAAGGTGTGCGGCACTGTGTCCACTTTATTTTTAAGTTAATATAATACGTGTTTATTTTTTGTGTGTGTTTTGTACTGTGCCACGCCAGACCTGTGGTCAGAGGACAACATGTGGTAGTTGGTTCTTTCCTTCCACATGTTGGGTTATGGGAATTGAACTGAGGTCCTTAGGCTTCTCATTAGTGATTACCCATTGAGCCACCTCGCAGGTCCTGGTAGGCATTTAGTTTCTTTATTATTACTTTCTTGAGAGAGGGAGAAGTCCATAAGAAGCTGATTAGCTTTTAAAAACTTTTTTTTGCATAGATAATACACTACATATTGTAGAGACATATTTTTAAAAATACATGGAGTGGTCTTTTTCATGCCCCTTTCCTGCAGCAAATGGTTTTCAGCTGACCCATGCTACTATTGTATTGTTCATACTTGTACAAGCATTTAAAAGTCTATTGTGGGGCTGGAGAGATGGCTCAGCGGTTAAGAAGCTCTCTGACTGCCATTCCAAAGGACCTGAGTTCAACTCCCAGCACCCAGATGGTAGATTGAAAGCATCTGTAACTCCAGTCCTAAAGGCTCTGACCCCCTCCTCTGTGGGCACTGCACATACACAGTGCACAGTCATACAGGCAGGTAAAACATCTATATACGTAAAAGTAAATATTAAAAAAAGTCTAAATGTGTTTATATAAAATATTTCCTCCTTGTCTACCCAGAGTGTTAAATAAGTCACACTCTGTAGCTTTCTTCACTAGGCTTGTAAGGAACTGTATGTAGTGTGATTAGCTGGTTGGGACTGTTTAGTTCTGTTCCTTTTTTTTTTTTTTTTTTTTTTTTTTTTGGTTTTTAAAGACAGGGTTTTTCTGTAGTTTTGGAGCCTGTCCTGGAACCAGCTCTTGTAGACCAGACTGGCCTCGAACTCACAGAGAACCACCTGCCTCTGCCTCCGGAGTGCTGGGATTAAAGGCGTGTGCCACAACCGCCCGGCCTGTTACTTATTTTTTTTGACACATGTTCTTGCTATATACAAAATAGCCCAGGTAGCCCAGGTAGGCCTTGAACTAATGATGCACCATAACTCAAAGATGTTTGGTTTTATACTTTTTTGTTTTTTGTTTTTACTATTTTTATTTATTCTTCAGAGTTTCATACATGCATACAATATATTTTGATCAAATCCATCCCCCTCACTGCAACCCCTAACTCCTCCCAGGTTTACCCTCCGAACTTCTTTTTTTTTAATAACCCACTGAGTCTGATTTGTGCTGTCTGTGTCTTCACCTCTAGCATGCTCTTTCCATGCCCTCCTCCACGATGTCACCGAACCTTGTGGGGGAACTGGTTTGTTTTCTCTCAAGCTCATCTAGAAACCAATTCCTGAGAATCCCTGTGATAATGACACAGGAAACAGCCCAGTTGTTTACTAGGTTGAGTTATTCTTTGTCACCCACCATCTTCATATAAAATAGGTTACAAACATGACAACTGGTTGCTAATACCGAAATTATATTTTTGTGCACGAGACATAAAATTGAATTGAATTAATCTGGAGAATACCATTGTTTTTCTCTGTTTGCATTTTGATGTACAGAGGCAAAGTGTATTTGATTCCTTGAAATAGCCTTAGGGCCTGGCACATAGCAGGTGCTCAAATGTTTGTGTGGTGAATGGGGGTGAGGGATAATTGTGAGCACCCCAAATAATCCCAAAAGATTGGGGGGCACATCTGAATGGATCATATCTTTAGTGGGGAAAATGTGTGGCAAATACTGTACTAAAGAAACAAAAGAATCCTGGTGTCATGGTACAGGACACTTCCAGCACTTAGGAGGGAGAATCAGGAGGGTTATAAGATCAAGGCTGGCTTGAGCCACTTAACAAGATCTTGGCTCAAGCAAATGAACCAAAAAAAATGTTAAAAACACAAGTTTTTTTCTTTTTCACAGTTTAGGAATGAAGTGTGTGCCTCCCGATATAAGCATGAGGCCGGCTAGCTGGCCTTGATCTCACTAAGGAGCTGAGGCTGGATTTGAACTCTAGCTCCTCCTGCGTCCGCCTTCCCAGTGTTAGGATTATAAACCTGCAGCACATCTAGTTTAATCTTTTTTATTTTTTTTTACATCTTCTGCGACAAATGGGTATTACTCTTACAATTAGGAACCCGAAAGACTGTGGTAACTAGATTGTTTGCTTATGAATAGATCACTCTGTGCTTAGGATGAGAATCAGAATCCTGGAAACCAGACCTAATTTGATGATTACGTACATGGTGGGGCTGGCCATGAGCTTAGATGCTTCCCTACACAGCCCTTCTCTGACTTCCCTGAGCTTGGTTCCCATAGGCGAGAACAGATTGTGTCATCCCAGGCTGCCATGCAGGACCAGGAACGATATGAAGACTCCCACCTAGGGGGCTACCGGCGGATCTACCCTGGGCCTGACTCAGAGAAATACGCACCCTTCTTCAAGCACAATGGCTCTCTCTTCCAGGAGACTGCTGCCTCCAAGGCCAGAGAGGAGTGTGCCAGGTACCTTGGCTGCATTTTCCTTTGTACAGGGGGTTAGGGGCAAATCCTGAAGTTGAACTGCTCTCCAGTCAGGGAAGAGGAAGCCACAGACTTGAGAAAGGAGAAATAGAGCAAAAAAACTCTAACAGGCTCTCTCTGTGTCCAGGCACATACATGCATGCCTTCACTTGAATGTATGATGTGTGTGTATGCACGTATATGCATGTAGAGGCCAGAGGACAACCTTGGATGTTGTCCCTAGCTGTTCATTATCTTGTTGGTGTATCTTTACATATGCCAAGATCACATTTACTTATTATTGGATGGATGGATGGATGGATGGATGGATGGATGGACGGACATGTGTACATGTACGTGTGTATGTATACCATGGTGCACGTGTGGAAGTGAAGTGAACTTTCAGGGGTCAGTTGTCTCCTTCGAGCATGTGGGTTCCAGTACCATAACTCAGGTGCTCAGGTTTGGTGGTAAGCACCTTTGCCAACCAGCCGAGCCATCCTGCCAGTCCCACTTTGCTTTTATTCTTTATTATTATTATTATTATCTTGTTTTTTTTGTTTTTTGTTTTTTTTTTTCTCATGAGACAGGCTTTCTCTGTGTAGCTCTGGAGCCTATTCTGGCACTTGCTCTGTAGACCAGGCAGGCCATGAACTTGCATAGATCTGCCTGCCTCTGCCTCCTGAGTGCTGGAATTAAAGGTATGTGCCACCACCACCTGACATAAGTTTTGTATTTGTGAAACTGGGTCTCGATATATAGTTTTGATTGACCTGCAACTTGCTGTATAGATGAGGCTGGCCCCAAACGCATAGAGTTCTGCCTGCCTGCGCTTCCCTAATACTGGAACTAAAAGGGTGTACCACCATGTCTGGCCCACTTTAGTTTTTGAGTCTCTCATTGGCCTGAAACTCACCAATTAGGCTAGGCTAACTGACCAGCAAAAATCCCAGGGACCTGCCTACTTTTGCCTATGCAGTGCCGATTAATGTGTGCTACCACACCTAACTTTTTTTTTCTAGACAAGGTTTCTCTGTGTAGCCTTGGCTGTCCTGGAACTCACTCTGTAGACCAGGCTGGCCTTGAACTCACAGAGGTCTACCCTCTCTGCCTCCAGAGTGCTGCGAGGATAAAAGGCGTACACCACTACCACCACTTCCCAGCCCTGAATGTTTTTGTTTGTTTGTTTTTTGTTTGTTTGTTTGTTTTTAACGCACGTTAGGAGGCCTAAATTCAGGTCAAGGACTTGACTGCCTGAGCTGTCACCCCACACCACCAACAGATTCTTAATGAGTCTTTCCTTTAGTGCGCTTCCTGGACTCTCTCTCATCAGTTCCAACAACACCTTTTCCTTGTATTAGCCCATCCTGCTTTCCTTCCCGCACCCCCTTCTCCCCACACCATCTCTCTCCAGTGTCTGAAACTGCTGTGTCTTGCCAGGCAGCAACTGGAAGAGATTCGTCTAAAGCAGGAACAGCAGGAGAACCCAGGCACCAAAAAGCGAAAGGAAAACAAGGACCAGAACCAGGGTGAATCAGCTGGGGAGAAGAGCCGATCCAGAACGGGAACACGGAGCCTTATCACCAACTTGGCTTATAGGAACCGGAACCGGGAGAAAGAGGTGTCAGGGGCTGTGGCTCTTCTCTTTTAACACGAAACTCAATTGGGACCGCTAGAGAAGGGACTCCCCGCTGTCCTCTCCTCTCCTTGCTGAGAGAGATGAGTCGCTAACTAGTAGATTGAATCTAACCTTTTGGAACAGAAGGTGAAAGGATGGACAGCTAAGGGAACCTTCCAGTAGGGTCTGGGGAGGGAAAGAGGTAGAGCGGGGCAGAGGCCCTGCAGCCGTCCTTGCTGACGGTGTGAGCCTCATCTTGGATATCCTGTGTCTCGTAGCTGATCCCAGCACACCTGGACACCATGCAGCCTCAGGACATAGTGGAAGAGGAAGAACTCGAGCGGATGAAGCTCCTGTTACAAAGAGAGAATCTTATCCGAAGCCTGGGTATTGTAGAGCAGCTCACCCGCATGCTGTACCCCAGCCACCGGGGCCACAGAAAGCTTCATGAGTATCGGGTGAGGGTCCCTGCGAAGCCTCTCACAAAGCCAGGGAACAAGGGCTGTGACACCAACACGTGGTGGTGGTTACACCAAAGGAGGTTTATGTGATGGTATCTGTCACTGGAGCCTGGGAGAGGGTCTGTTGGTCCCATGACAGCTGTTCCCAGGCTCCCTTGGGTTTGGTATTGCCACCCAGCAAAGTGCAGCTCCCAACTTTCTCAATGGCAAAAAGATGTGCTCTCTCTATCCCTATTTCATAGTAACCCGCAACTTCTGACTGATAAATAAGAAGACCACCACATGCCCAGTGGTTTCTATGTAATTGCCCTAGCACTGCCAATGCCCTGGCTCTAATGGGAGCTAAGTAAACAGTCTTGGGCCAACAAAACAGCTGCCGTTTTCACTATTCCCTGGGCTAGTAACAAACCTGTTGGCCCCTCTGTTTTTGTTGAACCCCAAAAGAACAACTAGTTAAACAGTGGCTGTGGCCTAGAAGAGATTGTTCTGTTTTTTAGTTACGTATTTCTTCCAACATTCTACCAAGCCTCGCAAGAAATATGGTAAGGGGCTGCTCTTCTCCTCTAGCCTAGATTTCTCCAGGACGGACTGGGCAGTCAGGAACTGCAACCTGTGAATTTGGTTCCATTGGTGTTCCTGAGAGGGGCTGCCACAGAACAGGTCCCTCCTCATTTCCTGCAACCACTTCGGCCCCATGAATTGATCCCCAGAATCTTAGGGCCACTGTCAAGCATGAATCCCGCAATTGCACAGCATTCTCGGTACCATCTGCAGCCCAAGAGCGTCAACTGGATAAGAGATCCAGCAACCATTGTGCCCTGTTCATTGTCAATGAAGAAATCTGGGAAGCAGTATTTTTCCAGCTCTAGAGTCAGGCTCACTAGCCGTAAGTATACAAAACTAGCTTTGGTCACTTTGACTGGTGTAAATTCCCAGTAGCAAATATTATAGCTGGGATGCTCCCAAGACAAAAAGTGGCACGCCCGGTAGTGTAGAAATGGGGGAAGGCAGTGGACCCACCTATCTACTTCCTTCTATTTAGTGACCCTGGTGATAGACATGGCAGAAACAGCCCCAGTCTTCAACAGAGGTTGACAGGGAAATGGACACGTAAACAGACTAATTAAAACACAGTGTGGTAAAGATGCTGGAGGGAAGCATGGGATACCATTCTTCTGTGTAATTGGACCACAGTTGGGAAAGAGGTGAGAACATCTCTTCCATGAGTACTCCAACTTAGTGGGGAATCCATGTTTCTACCGCAGAAGGCCAAGCCAGCAGAAGGCTAGAAGCCATAAACCGAGCCCTGTCAGGATCAGTGCCACCCACTTTAACCCCAAAGCAGGGCTATCTTCTCCAGCCTGAAAGACAGCAAAGTGACTCATGGACCGAATGCTGCACCTTGCCCTCCATGGTAAACTCTGAACACAGAGGAGCCAAGGCTGGGGATCTCACCCTTTGCCCTGCCTCTGCGCCAGTGCTGCAGCATTCCAGCCCACTCCTCAACATCACCCAACACAGGTAAAAGAAGGGACGCCCAGCATGCAACCAAAAAAGCAAATGGCCTGCAATCACATTGCTCATTGAAAGACTGCCACCAAGTTCCAGTTTGAAAAGCTCTGGCCAGGACCTTTGTTGGCAAAAGGCAAAACCCAAAGACACCAAGGATTCTTCAACATTCTAAGATTCTTTGGGGAATCGGTAAAGACTAAAAGACGAAGCGCTAAGGCCAGCATGAAGGCATCTCTCTGCTCATCAAGCCTTAGGCTGGGTTTCTCGCTAAGCAGTGGGTCTGAACGCTGGGGTTGGAGGTCACTGGGCAACAAGGAGTTCCTTTCCCGGTGGAGTCAAATGCCCAAGGTACGGTGTAGTCACCATCAGAAGATTGCTGAGGGTCCGCCCTTCCTGCCACAGTGGCAGAATCAGGCAGGCCTGGGCAGCCTGTGCCAGAGGGGCGGCTCTGGGCAATGAACTCGTCTTTTTATTAAAGTTTATGTCGTTTTCCAGGCGCGTCCTGTACCTCCTTTCGATCCTCGCGTCTGGGGCAAGCTCTTCTCACAGTTACAGTAGGGAAGCCCAGCGTGGTGGCTCAGGCCTGTAATCCTAGTTACTTGGGAAGCTGAGGCAAGAAGAAGCTGAACTCAAGGCTAGGATAATTCAGTCTCAAAATGTTTGGTTTTCTTTTAAATGGCTAGGGAGACCATTTGCCTAGCATGTACGAGGACCTGCTTGGCACCCCAGCACCACAAAAACAAAATAAGAAAAAGGTGGGCAACTGGGCAGTACAAGGGAAACCTCCGCCTTCTGGTAAACTGAAGGGTCAGGATCCCGCCCTACTTCCGGTTCTCCATTCTGCTTCCGGTCTTTCCCGCTCGCTTCCGGTCGCGAGCTGTAGAGGACTGTCTTGGGTCGCGATGGCGCTTACCCGGAGCTTCTGGTTCGGCGGTCGTGTCCGCACTGCTGTCGCTCGTTGTGGGTTCGCGACCCAGGGCGTGGCGGGACCGGGCCCGCTCAGCCGCGAGCCGGACCCCGATTCCGACTGGGAGCCGGAGGAGCGGGCGCTCCAGGAAGTGGAGAGGTACCAGCTCCTTGGAGGGCCCTCAGCCTGAAGCTAGGCCTCCCGCCCCTCAGTTCCGGGCGTCCAGCGACCGCGTCCGCAAAGGCTCTAGTTTCTTCTCACCCGTTGTTGAGGGCGCAGGGTGGGACCATCGCTAGTGGCGTGTTTCATCATCTGCTCAGAGAGCTCTGCATGCTTATGGTCAGGTGTTAGATTTCTGGGGCGGTGTACAGAGAGTTGCTTTAACCTGGCAGACATGACCGGGCTGCCTTTGTGGGCAAACAAGGGAGCTGGGCTCTCCGTGCTGTAGTCCGAGGCTCTTTAAACACCCATCTTGCTTCGACGCATGGCTTCTGCCGTTGGTTCTTTCCCCCAGCACCCTGAAACGACAGAAAAATGCCATACGATTCCAGAAAATTCGAAGGCAAATGGAGGCTCCCGGTGCTCCACCCAGAACACTGACGTGGGAAGCCATAGAGCAGATCCGGTAAGATTCTGTTTTCAAAATGAGGTTTACTTCTTGAGAATTTTAATTGTGTTGCCTTTTCAGCAGAAGATGCCCGTCTGGATTGTTTTGGTTTTTGTGATGCTGGGCTCAACATAGGACCTCACTTACGGTCCGCCAAAAGCTCTACCTCCAAACTACATCTCCAGCTCGGGGTTAGTGCGCTGCCAGTATGGACAGTTGATTGGTGGCTTTGGGTTTTTGTTTTGTAACAAAGTTAGTATTTGTAGAGGCCCGAACGCCTAACATCCGATTAGAACGCGATGTCCTCCTGAGATCTTGCAGAGGAAGTTGCCGCGATTATGTGTGTTGTCTTTGGAAGAGAACTGTGACTTAGAAGTATTGGAAGGAAACTTTCTTCTTGACAGTCTCATACAGCCCAGGCTGGCCTCTAGCACCCTGTAGCCGAGGATGGTCCTGAGGGCTGTGTGTGGGAGGGAGAGTGCAGGTATGTGCCAGCTAGCTTGCAGTTTTTTCTTTTTTTTATGGGGGGGAGACGGGACACAGGGCTACTCTGTAGACTGGGGTAGCCCGGAATCTGGAATTCTTGGCAATCCACCTGCCTCTGGCAAGTGCTCGGATTATAGGATTACACTGTGTGTGAGCCACCACTATTGCTTGAAGGGGGTCTTAAAAGAATTTTTCCTTTTTTATTTTTTTTTTCTTTCTAACTATTAAGGTTTCTTTTAGGAGTTGGGGCGATAGCTCAGTCGGTAGCTTGCCTGGCAAGTGTGGGGACCTGAATTTGGTTCCCCGTTATGCCTGCTGTTGTAATTGTAATTCCAGCAGTGGAGAAATGGGAAGCAGAGACAAGGAAAATCCCTGGAGCTGCACCTCCACGGTGAAGGTGCAGGCCAGTGAGGCCCTGTCTCAAAAGAATAGAAGGCATCAGAGGACCAACATTAGATATTGCCCTCTGACCTCCATGCACCAAGACACATACATGCACCCTCTGCAGATGAACACACACACAATATTTTTTTAGGTCCTATTTTAGCTAGATTTGGCCAGCATACAGCTGTAATGCCACTATGGAGGAGGCGTGGGACAGAGGCGGGTGGGTCTCTCTGAAAGCCCCAGTGACCTACATTCTTGAGTTTGAGGGCAGCCAGGACTATAGTGAGATTTGTCTCAAAGCAAACATTTTGAGAAAGGCTCATTTACCCCAGGCTGATCTGGAATGTGCTCCATGGCTGAGATAACTTCCTTTCTGACTCTCTTGAGTGCTGGGATGACGTTTGTACCACATCTGTTATATGAAGTGCGCAGGATTGGATCTGGGGCCTCATGCATGCTAACCAAACCGCTATGAACTGAACTACATCTTAAAATCCCTCTTTTTTGCTTTTTCTAAGGTTTTTGTCTTTTCATCTTGTTTGGTTTTGCTTTGCTTTTTGAGACAGTCTTCACTATGTAGTTCAGGCTGGCTTGAAACTCTTGAACTTTGCCCCCCCGTCTTCAATCCTGGGATTGCAGATGGGTAGTTATCCTTCCCTCTGCTCCATCTGTAACATGGTGCATATTGAGAATTATTTGCTCTATTTGTTTGTGTTTTGTTGTTTTGCTTTTCCCCTAGGACAGTGTTTCTCTGTGTAGCCCTTGCTGTCCTGGGAACTCAGTTTATAGACTAGACTGGCCTTGAACTCACAGAGATCCACCTGCCTCTGCCTCCCGAGTGCTGGGATTAAAGGCATGCGCCACCACCATCCAGCAAGTTTTCATTTCTTAAATCACAAACTGCATACTATAAATTCTGTTCCAATCTTTTCTTTTTACACTCACTGTGTACTTTTGCTTTTTCCATTTCAGTATTGAGCTCCTGGGCAGGAGTGGAGCTTAGAGCATTTATCTAGTAGGCATGAGGCCCTGGGGTCAGTCCTAAGAACCACAACCTTCCCTTCCTGACCTGGGAAAAAAGTGCTACTTAAGTCTTTAGTAGGTGCACAGTGAGCCACAGTTTATCATACCTGTCTTCTGTTAAATGTGTTTAAATTCTTTCCCTTACAAAGCATTCTCCAAGCTGGGGAGGAGATGAGGAGTGGGGTGGTGGCGGTTCTCTGTGAGTTCAAGGACAGCCTGGGCTACACAAAGAAACCCTATCTCCAAACTAAAATAGATAGATAGATAGATAGATAGATAGATAGATAGATAGATAGATAGATAGGTAGGTAGAAAGAAATTAAAGATAAAAAGCTCTCCAGTAAACTGCTTTGTATGTATAGTATGCAGCATATCTACTAGAAATAAGATATTTGCATTATAATAAATAGTAATAAGTAGCCCTATGTTGACTATATACCCTTTTCCATTTGTATGAGAAAGACTCTAATTAACAAAGAGAATACTGTAGAGCTGGGTAAAGACTTTGTACCATCTCCTGGATACCCAGGAAACTGTACTATTCCTCATCCCCAAGGTTCTGGGAATCCTCTTCAGAGTCTCAAACATGCTGGGTAAGTACTCTGCCACAGAGGAATAGTCCTCTACACTTTATTGTCTCAGGTTTTTTTTCCTTTGGAGCTAGGTCTGACTATGTAGCCCTGACTGACCCCAAGTTCATAGAGGTTTGCTTGCCTCTGCCTCTGGAGTGTTGGGAATTAAAGATATGTGCCACTATTCCTGACTTTTCTACCACTTGGGAAATAGCTTTTAACCAACCTTCCAGTTTCCTCCCTATCAGGTCCTTTCCTGTAGTCAATAAATGTCCTTTAGCTTCAACGGAAAAACGGGTCATGAAGTAAAACCTGCCAGCTTCCTGTTCTTGTTCTTTACCGCCCATTATCTTGCATATGACAGTAAGCTGTCAGCTGAACTATTTCCTGATACAGTTAATGGTTCTCATGTTTCTTGCTCTACAAGCATTATCTTTGCTTTCTCCTTTGTTTTTTTCCTGCTTACTCCTTACCTTTTAGATCATCTCTATGTTGGACTTCTCAGGCATGCCTGAGTCAGACTGCAGGTGATAGAATTGCCTGTCCCCAGTCTCCCTGTGGGTGCACTAACTGCATCTTTCACTGTGGTGCTTTGTTATTTTGTGGTATCTACCACCAACCTCTTAAGATCTTGGAAGTGAAGGTCAGTTCCATTATCAGGACCTATCAGTAGACAGTAGTCGGTAGCTATTGATTGACGTGAACTGTCCTGATTGAGTGTCCTGATTAAAAAGTATTGCTGTTTGCACACAGGTACAGAATTAATTGGTACAGTCTAAGGGCTGCATTCAGTCTTCCCCAAACTCTCTTTTACTTATTTGTCACTAGCATTATCACTTTTAACTCTTCTCATAGGAGACTTACTCGCAATTTGAAAAACTGTTTTTCCATAGGTATTTACATAAGGAATTTGCAGAGTCCTGGTCGGTTCCCAGGTTGGCAGAAGGCTTTGATGTCAGCACCGATGTTATCAGAAGGGTTTTAAAAAGTAAGTTTGTTCCCACTTTGAAGCAGAAACTGAAGCAGGATCAGAAGGTCTTTATAAAAGCTGGTTTCGCCCCGGCTTCTGGAGATGCGGTGAAGTCACTCAGTGCAGGGCATTCTGTTTCTGGCCTGCTGCCACCAGGGGATGAAGTTTTGTCTAAAAATCAGACTCACAGCACACCAGGTGCACAGATGAGCCAGAAAGAAAGGACTAAAAGAAAAAGCTTGGTGTCTACCACTGCAGCCATGGGTCATCAGAGAAAGCGGGAGAAGCATACCACCAGCGATTCGGAAGCCATCAGAAGAGCTGATGGTGACAGAGTGCCAAGTGTTGAGAAACTGGGAGAGTTGAAGGCTGGGGAGCCACAAGATCAGAACTTCACCAGCAAAGTCGTACAGAGGGGACGTGAGTTCTTTGACAGCAATGGGAACTTCCTCTACAGAATTTGAGTCTGGGCCCGACTTTCGGAGATGCCTTGACACAGCTGGGCAAGTGGATTTGTAGTTGCCAGCATTCCTGCTGATTTGGAAGAAAAATGGAGGCTAGGATGTGGGTGGAGGAACTACTTGGCTAGAGTCAGATTTCTGGAATAAGCCCGATTGGACCCTGTGGATCTAAATACTCATTCATCCTTACTGCTTGGTCTCTCTGTTGAGAACGAGTATTACATGTCATGAATGTCATTGTCGCTCTGTTGGGAGGAAATGGAAAGCTTGCCTCCTGACCTCATTTCCTTCTTGATCACTGGACACTAACTGTTCTTGAACAGTTTAATCAGTTGGTTTTCTTATGTGCGAAATAAAGTAAAGCGTAGCAGTTCATTGCTTGGTACTCTGTGGATTGGCATTTTCTTGTAAACTTTGGAGTGGTGAACTAGAAAAGGTGGAAGGGAAAAGTATTCTTTCATTAAATTTTGGTAGATGGCACGAGAAGAATCCCACCCAACAAAAGGCTTCTGTGCATAGCACTCCCCTCAGTGATAAATTATATTTTGAAGTTTTGAAATTAGATTTTGTATGTGTGGCACAGTGCACATACAAATGTCATGAGACAACTTGTAGCAGTGTTTTCTCTTTCTACCATGCCTGTCCTGGAAATCCAGCTTAGGATGACAGCAAGTGCTTGTACCTGCTGAGCTGTGCCACGAGCTCTCACGGCAACCAAAACTTGGATATTTTGAATTGCTGGGGTTCTGAAAACCATTTAGGAATGGGAACAAACAGAGCAGCTTTGAAACAAAGATTAAAGTCTTAGAGTCCCTAACACATTTTCCCGAACTATGCTAAATTAAACTGTATTTGATAGCCCAGTCAATGCCAGGCTTTTCCTAAAGATGGGAGTGTAATAGGAACTCAGCCCCTGAACAAATGAACAGACCCTACGATGCCTGCTGATAAATGGTAGTTCTGGGACTTAGACCCAAGCCTCCTTTAAAGTCCTAGCAATACAGCACTATGTGGTGTAATTTCTGGTTGTTTTAGGAGTTAACACTAAAAATTCTAGTAGGAAATGAGAACATCAGCAACAAGAATCCAGCAACACGTTTCCTCTGTGCCTCATTCTAACACCGGGTCAGCTAAAATTGGTACTTATAAGTGATGTTGTCACTTAAAACGTGGCCATCCCAACGTGACATTACTATTTATTAGAGTCTAGCTATCTGAAATGTTGATAAAAGTAGTTACAACACTGACTGCTGTCTTCCTTGTTTTTGAAATAGCTTCTTACTAGCCCAGGCTGGCCTGATACAGCAATTCTTTTTCCCCAGCCTTGGAAGTGCTGGGACTACAGGCTTCCAATGTCATTTCCCTAGCGGCTTCCCAGTCACCCAGGCTAAAGCAGGTGTTCTGTGTCACCCCGGAATGTAATTAGGCTCTCTGGCAGCAGGGAGGAAGAGTTCCTGAGAACAAAACCACGAACTTCTGTTCAGCATATTTATTGGTGGCTGAACACAAAGGTTGTGTTTGGGATACAAGTTCCTCATGTCAAAAGCCCCTTTGATTTATCCTACATGTTATCTGAAGAAAACTATCACACCCTTGCAACCTTCAGTCACATTGTGTACTGTTGCAGTAACAATAGAAGACCTCCGGGTGTGCCTGAATAGTCTTGTGACCAAAGATGCAATGGATGAATAAGCCCTTCAGAAAAATAGCTATAAATCATAGAAAATAATCCCTGTTCTTTACATGATTTCTTCAAGGTCCAGGTACCTTCAACATTAATCATGAAACCTAGATATAGCGAGAAACAACTATTACGTTTTATGTTTACTCTAGATACAGTGACTACAAGACTCCCCTCCCCCCACACAACTGTCTTTATGTTCTGTGACCCTGCCCTTATTTTCTGCAGTTCGAGAAATTAATGCTATCACCTTTCCTCATTTTGAATGATGACCCACGAAGGCAAGAGACCTATGCATTCTTCACTGTATTCCCAACTACTACCAGATTGGCTAAGCTCCTAACTACTGCTGTATTGGTTAAGTGAGGAGATGGCTGAAGGACTTCCTAACAATCAGTGAATCTTTTATGGCTCTAAGCACCACCTTTTAGGTTTGCCAGTCAAGGGACATAAACTTCCAAAATTATCTTTCCTGCTGTGTCCTGTTGTCTCAAGGAAACAGCCTAGGCTAGGAGACTGGACTGTGGGGTTGAATACAGTTTCAGTCCTGTATCCACCGGGCTGTGGTTATAGGACTTCATGGGTCCCTGTCTTGGGGCCACCCTCTTCGATGACACAATGAAGACCACCACACGGGATGAGGTAGACCTGCACTTAGGAGCTCAGTCGCCATGGGTGGTGGAAGAAGAAACATTTCAGGTTTCACTTGAGCTGGAAAGGAAGCAGCTCCAGAGGAGTGGGAGCCTCGAGAGCTTGGGTTGGCAGACCACAGCAGGATGGATACGGCTGCACCACAGAGTCACACTTCGCTGCTTTACGAAGCAAGGGGCAGGAAGGCATCTCAGGGCACTTCTGTCCCTCAGTGCAGCAGACATCAACCTAGAGAGGATGCAGTGAGGTCAGGCAGAGGTCAACATAAATGAACTGAAGCACTGTATGAGCTCAGGCCTTTTTTTAAATACTTATTTTTTAAAACTATTTAAATTCATTTATTTTAATGGTGCTGGAGAATGAACTACCCAGTCTGTTTTATAAGCGGCTTTCCCAGTTGGTTTGTTTTCCAAACAGGACTCATATCAAGTAACAGTACATTTTGTTGTTATGTTCTTGAAGTCTTTTAACCCTTTCTGGGGAATAAGATAACCAATTCAAATGACTAGGGGAAAAAAGAAACTTATTTCTTTATGCAGAAAGGGATGCCAGCATAGAGAACAGGCAAAAGTAGCTGGAATGCTTATTTGGTGCAAGAAGGTAGTTTTTAAACTAAGCATAAGAAATTCCTGTCCTCTATTCCCCATAGGCAATTTGGGGTTAACAGTCTAGCATAGCCCTCTTTTCGGATTCATCCTATTGGTTTAGAAGGCAAACCTTTTAGTAAGTAGCTTGAGGCTTGAGACTGCTCTCCTTTTTGCAGCTGACTGTAACTTTCTATTTATTTAGAGATAAGGTCTCGGGCTGGAGAGAGATGGCTCAGAGGTTAAGAGCATTGTCTGCTCTTCCAAAGGTCCTGAATTCAATTCCCACAACCACATGGTGGCTCACAACCATCTGTAATGAGGTTTGGTGCCCTCTTCTGGCCTGCAGGCATACATACAGATAGAATATTGTATACATAATAAATAAATAAATATTTTAAAAAAAGAGAGAGATAAGGTCTCTGTAGCACCAGCTGTACTGCAACTATGTAGACGAGGCTGGTCTTGAACTAGCATAAGACCCTGCCTCTGCCTCTCAGTACTGGGGTTAAAACCATGGGCCACCATGCCTGGCCTTCATAATATATTTCTTAAACCTTAAACCTTTTATTCCAGAATAGTCCCACCTTGTGCTTCTTTCCCCTTCGCCATTGATTTTGAGAAGTTCTGCCATTGTCCCAGATGAGCCCCTGCTCTGAGGGAGTCAGGGTTTGGGAGGTGGGAGGAGTCCAGAGGTTGAGGTTGAGTCCTTGCTAGCTCTCCAGTTTATATTTTGAGGTAGGGTCTTTTGCTGAACCAAAAAACTAGGCAATTAGCTTAGGCTAGCTAGACAGCTTGCCTGAGGGATCCCCAGCTCTGACTCTGGAGTGCCGAGGTTACTAAGGGGATGCCATGACCACTTAGCATTTTTTTTTTATTTTAATTTTTTTTATTAAAAATTTCCACCACTTCCCTCCCTTCTCCCCACCCTCCCTCCCCCTCCTTCTCCAGGCCAAAGAGCAGTCAGGGTTCCCTACCCTATGGGAAGTCCAAGGTCCTCCCTACTCCCCCCCCCCAGGTCCAGGAAGGTGAGCATCCAAACAGACAAGGCTCCCACAAAGCCCGTCCATGCACCACTTAGCATTTTTGTGGGTGTTGGGGATTCAAACTCTAGTCATCACCCTTTATCCACTGAGCTGTTCCTGTCTTACCTCTTCTCCCTCCTTTCCTTCTCTGAGACAGAGTCTCACATTGCCCAGAATAGCGTTGAACTGATCCTATCTCCACCCAAGGGCTGGGATTTACAGACACCCGTCAAGATGCCAGACTGCCTGTTTTTGTTTTGTTTTTTTGTTTAAAGACATTATCCATTTCCCATACTTTCCTATTTATGTATTTTCTCAGTCAATTCCTATCTGCAACAGCATGGTTGGAGACCTATAAACAGGTGGAGTGTTTGTCCGGTCCGCCAGATCCCAAATAATCAGATAAAAAGCTTATATTAATTACAGAATGTTTGGTCTATAGCTCAGGCTTATTAACTAGCTCTTACAACTTAAATTAACCCATTTTTAAAATTAATCTACATTTTCCCACGTGGCTTCTTGTTCTCTAGTACATATTGCTTCCCCGCCAGCTGACTCAAATCCCTGGTCTCCGCCCTTCTCTCTGTATTTTCAGTTTGTCTTTCCCACCTGGCCTTATTCCGCCTTGCTATAGGCCAAAACAGCTTCTTTACTAACAAAATGAGAGGAATACATCTTCACAACGTGGAGGATTATCCCAAAGCAGAGACCTTGTCTCAAAAACAAAACCTTTACACAAGTAAGTACCTCCATACAGAGGTACTTATGTTTTGCCTCTTTATTCATTTGTACTATGACTGTGCCACAAGCTTATTTATTTTTCCCATAATGGCCATTAACAAATTAAAACTCCGATATCCAAAGGTTACAGCCGGCAAACCTTAACTTTCATAGTCCAACATATTCATTCCTTTTCACAGTGCTCAAACTCACATATACCTTCTACCACCAGGAAGCCAAGGACTGCACTGTCAGAGGCTAGATTGACAGCTGAGACTCCAGCAGTCCGTACTCTGCAGATTAGGTTTCGCCCACTTTTCGAAATTTAAAATACAGGAAGAGTTTAATCTCTACTTCAACGAACTACAGACTAGTCTGTTGTATTGTTAAAATGTATTCCTTCCTGGGATCTGGGGTTTGACGACGAATAAGCAATTAACAAGGCGTAATAATCTCTTTATCCAAGAAAAAACTCTGGTCACGAATGGGGTTGGAAAGCTCCTAAGCGGTCAAGAGCGTTCCCAGCACTCGCGTCTGGCAACTCAGAGCGGCAGCTTCAGGAAGTATGGAATGCTCGTCTAGTTTTTGCAGGCACCCGCACACACATGGCATACATTCACGCAGGCACGCACGCACGCACACACATAAATAAAAGTATACCCATAAAAAAACCTAACTCGTCGCCTCCTGTTTTGAAATGTCCCTTTCCGGACGCCGTCCTCTCCCAGTGCTCTAAGCGCCGATCGGGAGAACCGGACTTCCGGGGGTCTAGGAAGCCGCTTTTCTCTGGCTTGGAGGCGGGGTTCTCCCGGCGCGCTCGAGCAGTTGGGAATCCTGCTGACAGGCGGAGTGTGCTTGGGCGGGGCCCGTGGCTGCAGGTCTCCCAGGAAGAGTCCCCTGACGGCTGGCCCGGAGCTGGTCATTCATCCCTCTAGTACGGCCCAGGAGCGAGGGCCCTTTGGGGGTCCTGGGTCCCCGAGCCCAGGCGTGCAGCTTATCAACCCGCGCTAACCCCGGGCTGCCGCCGGCCCCTTCAGAACAGAGGCCATCCTGCTCTCATACGGTGGCCCCGGTGACCGCTCCCATGGCTTTCCCCCATCGACTGGACGCCCCCGAGCTTCCTGACTTCTCTATGCTCAAGAGGCTGGCTCGAGACCAGCTCATCTATCTGCTGGAGCAGGTCAGTGCCGGTCACGCCTGGCTTCTTTCCTGCGTCAACAGTGTGGCCCTCAATGTGACTTCTTCCTCGCTGTGTCCCTTGGTAATTTCCTTCGAGCTTCCTCGGCAGATCCAGAATGGGATATTCGACAGGAAAACCCAAAGAGTAGTCGGTAGATAAATAAGTGGAAATTGTCAGCATCCGTGCAGGAGGAAGACTCCCTTGTGCCAGGCGTCACTGGAGATGGAAGTAGAGTCGAAATACCTTTGCCACTAGTTACATTCCAGTAGGTGCCCTATGAAACAATGGTGCCTAGGGTATCGGGTGGTAAGTCGATGCTAGGCTTCCCGAGGAGTTGAGAATAAAAAGCCGGCAGCTGGGCTGATCTAGGGGTTTCCTGAGATCTGGAGTTTGAAGAATAAACATACTTCCTTTTGAGTAGGAGGAGCGTGTTCCATTCAGACTATCGGGCTGCTAGAGACAAAGCTGAGAAAGCAGGGAAGAGAGCGGTCAGAAGTCACATTGTAGGGGCTGGGAATATGGTGCCTGTTAAACAGTTGCCTGTGCACAGTCCTAGGTTTTACCCACTGCACCCCATCTAAAAGAAAGCTGCACAGCCGGACAGGCCTGGTTATGCACGCCTTTAGTTCCAGTATGTTCATTCATTCCAGGGCCGAGGGATGCAGATCTCCGAAGGTACCATGGTCTACAGGGTGAGATCCAGGAAAGGCAGGGCTATGCAGAGAAAACTGCCTCGAAAAGCAAACAAGCGAACAAAATTACACCCAAAGGGTGAAGACCCGCACACGTTTGCAGCAGGCAGCAATACCTGCTGTTTGCAATAGTGCTTGTAAAGGGGAGCAAGTGGACAATAAGGCCAGTTAGGAGAGCCCTGATTAAACTCAAGTAACAAAAGCCCACAAAGAAGTCGGTGGCAGTAGATGTGAGAGGAAATGGTGGGGTTTTGTTTTTCGGCTTTGATCCTTTGGGTCTGACTGTGTATTCCAGGCTGTCCTCCAGCAGCCCCTCTGACCCAGCCTATCAAGCACTGGCCTTACAGGAATTTGCCGGCACATGTGACTTGTGATAAATTTATAAATTACAGGGGAAGAAAATTCAAAGCTGTTGATTAGTTGTAAATGTTGAGGGAGGAGCAAAATGTACATGCCCCTTTAATCTGCGTTACTAGGAAACGAGACTTATTGTCTGCAATCTTCATTGGCTTGGAGGGGTCTCAGGTTTAGGAATTGACTCTGTTCTGCGCTATAGACCCAACACTGAGTACCTGGCTTAGAGACAGCCACAGAGCATGTGCTTAATGAATGTTTTATGTCAACACTAAACAAAAATGAAAGGCACACACATACAAGTATATGTGTAGACACAAAGATGCACACACATGTACATAAGGGTACACACACACTTACATGCACACACATCTAGAGGAACAGCTAGGTGGAGGAAGTAGATTGCTTTAGAGCTTAAGTGAGGTCTAGTAGTGATGGGCTGTGGATGGGTCTCAGTGTATAGCTGTCCTCCTTTGGAACCCTGGGCTCAATCATAACCCTGGAGAGGGGGAGAGAGAGAGAAAGGTGAGAGAGAGAGAGAGGAAGGAAAGGAGCAGCTGACTAGTGGGCTGGGGTGAAACTTGGAATACAGGCGAACCTTGGGATCCAGGACCATACGTTATTTCTCCTTTGTGTGTCCCATAATGCTGGCACAGAGATTTGCACATAAGTGTGTCTCAACCTGTATGTGAAGAAGAGAAGAGATAAGTGCTGGAGAGTAGGTGAGACCAGGAATAAAAATTAGTGGAATATTTTGAGGAAGAGGCACCATGGGTAACTCAAGGTCACAGGGAATCTCTGGGCAATAATTCCCTCTGTGTACTAATTTCTGGTGTGTGTGTGTGTGTGTGTGTGTGTGTGTGATGTATGACTGTGTGTTTGCATGTGTATGGGCACAGACACATGTGTCCACGTGTGGAGCTGTTGACATTGGTAGTCTTTCTGAGTCACTGCTCACCTAATTCATTGAGGCAAATTTTCTTAGTTGAACCTAGAACTTGCTGATGCAGGCTGGTCTAGCTAGGCGGGTTTCTCTAGAGATCTGTTCTCTGTAGTGAGGGGCTGCGGGCAGGCCTGCTTTTCGTCCTGCCCAGCTCCCGCATGGCTAGCTTAGTCCCAGAAATAACAACACACAAATTGTATTCATTTAAATACTGCCTAGCCCATTATCTCTACAGAGTTAGTTACTGGCTAACTCTCACATCTTGATTAACCCATTTCTAATAATCTGTATCACACCACGAGGTGTGGCTTACCGGGAAAGATTCAGCATGTCTGACCTGGTGGCTGGCTCCATGGCTTCTGCCTCACAGCCCTCTTCCCAGCATTCTGTTCTGTTTACTCCGCCTACCTAATTTTCTGTCCTATCAAAGGGCCAAGGCAGTCTCTTTATTGACCAATGAAAATAACACAATAGACAGATAACCCTCCTCCATCATTTCCCCTTTTTCCGTTTAAACAAAAAAGAAAGGCTTTCATTTTAACATAGTAAAATTACACATAACAAAACAGTTATCAAGCAAGAATTACAGTCACAATATTTATAACTATATCTTTATCATAATGATGGAAAACTATAACTATGACTATCCATTCTTCAACTCCATCAAAGACTCCATAAGGATATATTACCTAAGTAAACAAGAAGTAAGCAACTTCCAAAACTCTAGAAATGACAGAGACATCTCGCTGCCTGGACAGTCACCCAAAGTTCCTCTGTATCGTTAGGGCATTCATCTTCAGCCTTCAGGCCCATAGTATCCAGAGACATTTCCATGAAGCAGGAAATTTCAAAGGCAGTTCAGTCACTATCTGTTATATCCTGGAGAATGTCTCGCAGACTCTTTCATGAATCAAGAACCCCGAAAGATCATCTCACCTTTAGGCAAGTTCAGCAGTCCTCTCTCTGTGGGTTCTCTGTGTCCAGTTTATACAACAGTCCAGGCAAGAACAGTTTCTTGCCCAAATGGCTAACCAACTCCAAAAGGAGCCTCTTCGATGCCCTTCTTCCTCTTGAAGTAGATTGGTGCTGCCAGGAGCAGACGTGTCTCATTGTCATGAAAAGTCCTAAGTTATTAAAACATTAAATGCCATGTTCTGTAGTCTTTGAAAGATATGAAAAATGCATATCTGAAATATATCTATGCACCTCTAGAAAACCAAACTAACATTACTACAAGCTTGACTATTATCGATAATTATCCATTAACAACCTATATTTTCTAATTATACATTACATTTTTAAAATGAACTACACAATCACAATACATCAATCAAGATCAGAAATATATCTACATATAACAAAATTGACCTTAAAATCCATAACAAAGCAAATTATTCATATCTATACCATATCCCCCTTTAAATGTAAAAGAACATTTATAAACAATATCTGGGAATATGGACGTAGTTGTTTCTCTCCAAACTTCTTCCTGCTGAATAGGGGCGCTGTTAATCAGGTCTTTCATGGTAAAACCTGTCTGCCAGATTCATCTCAGTTGGCAGTTGAGTGAAGCAATTTCTTGAGGGTGTTCACAGCAACCTTTCAGGAGGACGTGGTCTATCATACCATATTGGGATAGAAGCAATCCACAGGGTCTCGTCCTCTGTGAAAACAAAAGAAGGACCTCCTTTCCAAAGCATCATATTCTTAGACCCAAATTCTGAAGTCAAGGTATTTTCAACATATCTATCTTGGATTAGTTCAGCAGCATTTATACACAAAAGTCTTTTAGAAGCTGTTGCACCTTCCTCAGCATTCAAACAATTCAAAGAGAGCATAATAACACACATTATCAAGATTGTCTGTGTATTTTCCATCTTTATGCAGCTTTATTTTTAACCTCTATTTCTTTTATTTTTACTTTTACTTTTTGACACAGGTTCTCTGTATATCTTTGTCCTGGAATAACTCTGTAGACCAGGCTGTCCTTGAACTCACAGAGATCTGTCTGTCTCTGCCTCCCCAGTGCTGGGATTAAAGGCGTGTGCTACCACACCTTGAACTCAGAGATCCTTCTGACCTTCTGCGTCAAGTGTGGCATTTTTGTAACTAAAAGAAAAATGCCACTCGAATATTTAACAGTTAGTTAAAGGTTTTGCAGGGATACAAGGTGGGCTTTTGTTGAGTTTGTCTTTGTTAGGAAATGAGACGCTGTTAAGAGGCAGAGTAGAAGAGGTTGTGGGGAAGAGAGGCAGTGACCAAAGTCACAATTTAGTGACAAGGAGCCAGGCTGAGAAAGTGAGATAGTTTTTATATGTGAAGAAGTGTCAGTGGTGAATAGAGACAGTAGCTAAGGTGCTCAGCTGGATGTCTAATGCCCTTTCAACTCACTAGGTTTTCGTTAAGTGAGTGCCTAGACAAAGTCCCAGCTGAAGGGAGCTCCTGTGACCTCTGAGTGATCAATCATACTTTCTCTCCTTCAGCTTCCTGGAAAGAAGGACTTGTTCATTGAGGCAGATCTCATGAGCCCTTTGGATCGAATTGCTAATGTCTCCATCTTGAAGGTACCAGCCCTTTTCTTGGGGAAATTCCTGCCCTCTTTTCCTCTTTAAGTATTTCTTCTGTTGATGAGCCTAACCAGTTCCTGAAGGTCATGCCCTTGACAGGAAGTCAGCTCACCTGGCCAGGTCAGCAGGGGACAGATGACGATGCTTGGGTTTAGTTTTGCATTTGGTTTTTCCATTGACCGTGAGGAAGAATGGGATGGTTCTCAGTGGAGCAGATTGACTTCTGGGATTAAACATTCCTGTGTTGCCTGTCTTTGTGTCGTGCTTGGCCTTTTCCAATTCTTCTTTTCATTCTCTTGTTGGATCCTCTCTGTAGCAACATGAAGTGGACAAGCTGTACAAGGTGGAGAACAAGCCTGTCCTCAGCTCCAGTGAACAGTGAGTGTCTGCGAGGTTCCCAGGGGTGTACTTGCCCTGCTTTGTCCTTGCCTGAGATATGCAACCACAGGGCCTGTGATGTGGCTCAGTTCCCTGCATGTTGGCAATACCCTGTGCAGATTGCGAGTCTTCCTTTCTGCAGTTTCTCCCACTCTGTCCTCTTCCTCTCCCCTCCATGTTAATATCTACAACTAGAACTATTCCTCGTCCAGAAATTGTTAGTCTGCTGTAACACCTCCAGGGGTAGCTGGAAGATGGCTCAGCTTCGGGAAGCGGGTAAAGCACATGCTTGCTGTGCAGGGTCAGGGATCTGAGTTCAATCCCTGGGGCCCACGGAAGGGTAGGAGGAGGTAATCTACTGTGCAGAGTTGTCCTCTGACTGCTCCTGAGTCCCTGCACTCACACATGCACAACAGTGGTAAACATAAATAAATAAGTAAATAAATAGCCTCTAGGGCCAGTGAGATGGCTTAGTACGTACAGATACCTGTACAGACAACCTGAGTTTCACCCACATGGTGGAAGAAGAGAACAATTCTCACAAGTTGTCTTCTGACTTCCACACAAGCTGTGGCACATGCGTACACACACACACACACACACACACACACACTCACATACAGTTTTGACCATTGGATCACCAGCTATTTAAGAACAGGCACTCCTGGGTCTACCATGGAGCCAATAAGGCACTCATATCATTACACTGTACCCGTTGTAATGAGAAATGGCTTCTGCGGGTGGCACATGGTTAGCTCAGAGATCTGTAGGCCTGGTCAAAGAAGGGCAAATGATTAAAGACTTGTTTTCATTTTAATTTCTTCTTAGATTCTATCACCATCTTCATGGTTTCTTCTAACTTTCCCATTTCTTTCCCATCCATAGATTGTGCTTCTTGGTCAGACCCCGCATCAAGAATATGCGCTACATTGCCAGTAAGTGAGCCATGGTTCTACTCTGTGGAGCTAAGAGCAGGGGAAAGGTGGGCAAGTTAGAACGGCCTTGGCCATAGGACCCTTCAGTAAGAAAAGACCTGGGGGACATAGTGGTGCCCATTTATTATCTCTGCACCTGAGAGACCAAGGTAGAAAGAACCCAAGTTGAGGCTAGCCTGTGCTCCAAAAGAAGATCTTGGCGGGGAAGGGCAGGAAGGGGGTATCAGGAAGGGCAGGAAGTTCTGCTTCCTTGTTTTCCTCTCTAACAGATGGCTCATGGCTTGCTGGGCTGCACTTCTTCTCTTTGTAGATCTTGTCAATGCTGACAAACTGGCGGGTCGAATTAGAAAATATAAAGTCATCTTAACTCCTCAGAAGGTGAGTGTGGCTCCTAGAACAGGGGGGCTGTGAGAGTGAACCGGGAGGATTACTTGTTGGGGAGATATGAGCAAATATCTACTCACCCCAGACAGGAAACTGAGGACAGACCAAAGTCCACCTTGGTGACCCAATGAGTTTTATTGGGGTTATTTGCAGGGATGGGAGGAATTACTTACAGGAACAGAAATGACTCAAAGACAGGTGCATATTTACCAAAGCTCATCCCTAGTATGAGTGACAGTCACAAAAGCAAAAAACCTGGAGTGTACTACAGCCTGCAGGCAGCTCAGCGTGTTGGAAAGTGTTGATTTCAAGTGGCTCAGTTGGTCTGTTTTTTCCAAGAAGCTGGGCTTGTCTAAGACTGACTCAAGGTAGTCTTTATTGCATATATACTCTTGGGAGGGAGGGGCTTAGGGAATCTGGTCAGTTTCAGGGACTTCCTCAAGCTGTTTTGTTGTTTACTTGATGTTTTAAAGAGCTTCCATGGAGGCCTGAGTTTCAATGTCAGTGGAAATTATTATGCAACAGGACTGGGATAAGTAGTCAGTGGCATGCTGTCTTCTCCTTACGTATCTGTGATTACTAAATGAAAGGTCTGTCATCAAACTGTCCCCAAAGAAAGCATTGTGGAAGTGGGAGTTTTAAGAAGTGACATCTGGCCAGGTGGTGGTGGTGTCTGCCTTTAATTCCAGTACTGGGAGGCAGAGGCTGCTGAATCTCTGTGAGTTCAAGGCCAGTCTGATCTACAGAGTGAGTTCCAGGACAGTCAGAGCTACACAGAGAGACCTTCGCTTGAACACAACAACCAAAAGAGAAGTGACATCCATATAACTTCCTTTGTAATCTCTCTCTTTATGGGAGTGGGGGCAGGGATGGTGTAGGGTGCTAGGGGATCTAATCAAGGTCTTGGGTAATGTTAGGCAATCACTCCACCACTCAACTATACCCCAGTCCTAAGTAGTTTGAATAGCTTGCTATGTTTGGAAAAGCTCCTGTTGTGTGTCCCTGCCAACACACACTCCTGTATAGTAGTGGTGCAGGCGCTGGTTGT